TAAACTCTGATTAGGAAATTATGTAACAACTAAAACTATCATGAGGTCAACGACATTTTAAAATAAATTTATATGTTTAAAAATAGAAAATATCTAGTCATTTAAAAATACATGAATATGAGAAATATTATTTACTAAATCCACAAAAATGTACATAATGATTTTTAGGATACCTTATTGTAACTAAGAACTCCCTGAAGCTTGTTTCATCTTGAGTACCAGCATTGTTATTAGAAATTAATCAAACATATTTAATATCTTATTATTATTTAAATAAAGAAATTCTCAACATCTAACCTATTTTTAAAACATATATAAAACTATATAAATATAAATAAATAAATTGATAACTACAAAACAATGCACATGCTTCTAAATATGTTGAATGTAGATCATTAAAATGTTTTTTCTTTATCTGTTATGAAAAGCCAGCATATACACTGCTAACCTACATTATAAGAAAATGTAGACTCTCTTAAATCTCATGGATAGATAGTTTTAAAGATTTGTATTTTAGACATGAAAATATTCTTCATCATTTTTATTATGTATAATATAAGGTATTTTTTCATTTAAATTTTTATCATTTTACGGTGCTAATCAGAAACGCTTAAACTAATGCTTTTAAAGCATGGTTATAAGAGTTTGGGTTTGGGCTTACTTCCTTTTGCATAAATGTATTCTGTAGTGAGAAACATGTTTTAAATATATAGACTGTACTTCTCACGGGTTTTACTGATATTATAAATTATATGCAAAAGAGAATGAATTGAATTATCACGTGTAAATCTGTCATTACTATTATAAACATCACTTGCTTCTTAACACAGAGGTAATACTCTAATATTAGCCTCTAGAAAAAAGATCAATATAGTACCATGAAGTGTAGTGCCCATTCTAAAACCCAAAGGCGCAGTGTTCCAATTTCTTTTATTCTATAAACTCAAGTCAATCAGTATTCATAGCATTCTGCTCCATTACTAACAGTATTCTAAGTTCTGATATGGTGGCAACAAAAGAGGAAATGTAAATGGTTGCTGAATTCACATAAGTGAAAGTATGTGTACTGAGACTGCACTCATCTACTATAGTTTCGTCTACAGTAGTCTCCCCTTAAACACAGTGGATACTTCAAAAATCCCCAGTGGATGACTAAACCATGGATAGTGTCAAGCTCTATACAGTATATACTATGTATTTCCTGTTCATACACACCTGCAATAAAGTTTAATTCATACATTAAGCACAGTTAGACATAGATAATAACTAACAATTGAATAGAATACTGTAATAATAGTTATGTAGATGTAGTTTTTCTCACTATCCCTCTCTCTCTAAAAATTTCTTATTGTACTATACAACTGGTAGCTGAAACCTTGGAGAGTAAAACCACTGATAAGAGAGGACTACTGTAGCAAAGAAGGAGTAATTTTTCTATGCCAGTTGGCCAGTGATAAGAACTTTACAAGTCTGACTGTATTATCATTACAAACAAGCTGGTAATTCAATACATCTTTATATTAACAGGGACTGGCGGGATTTCCACTGACCTCCTTTTTTTTTTTTCTTTTTCAGTCCAACCAAAGCAATTTCTTTGGATTGTTTATGAAACTTGTATTAGACTTCCTGTTCACAAGTGTCAGTTGCACTAACCAAATAGAGTTGGGTGATTTTTCTTTGCTCATAAAGGTGATAGTTAACATGATTAATACTAGACTATTCAATGTTGGTAGACGAATCTGAATAATTATGATGACAGGCTTTAGTATATTAATGAGGGTTTCTTGGGATTACAGAGGATGAATAACAAGAACAAATTGTGTTGACAATACATTCATAGATTTTTATCAACAAAATTAAATAATTATTTTCTTATCATCCCTAGCTTAGTAAGTTATCACTTCATTCTGCCAATTTTGAGAGCAAAAACTTTGAAGTCATCTTTGATAGCAATTTTTCTCTTATAGCGCACATCAATTCATTAGCAAATTCTGCCATCTCTGTGTTCAAAGTTTGTACAAAATCCATGTACTCTCACAGTCTTGACAATTACCACCTTGTCAATGCACTCGAAGTATAACAATAAACTCCTAATACATGAATAAAGCATGGAATAAAGTACATTCCCAGCATGTAAGAAAATCAGTGGGTGACTGAAACAAAGAAAAAAATGACTAAGGTAGTGTAAAACTATATATGTGTTTTAATATGTTAATAAACAATCATGCTTATTGTGTATGTTTATTTTAAACACATTAAATGTAGCCTTACAAAATCTAGAATAAAATAAAATATTCTAATATCATGCAATCAGTTCATATAATAAAAGCATTTTTTTTTAAATATCATATCCATCAGTGATCCTCAGTAATGCTGTATTTCCCAGGATCTGCAGTGATTCAGCATATTTCTCCAAGTTTGCAACATTTCATGACCTGAGTTTCTTAAATTTAAGTGCTAGAATGATTTAGGTATAACTCTCTAAAACTGACTATGATAGATCATAAATGCTGCTTCTCATTTTTTGGAAAAAATTATATTATTTAATATAATTAAATATAAGTTAAAATGACTATTCTTATTAGAAAAATGTATCCATCAAACAATTTTAGGCTTTTATTTTGTAATTTACCATTAAAAACAAAGAAAACTATCTTATAGGACCAATAATGTTGGCCAAATAAGAAATCCACTAGAATTGTTACACATTTAAATCTGGTAGATGAAATGTTTCTTTTTTTGTCTCCATCTTTTTTCTTTTTTGTTTTCGTTTTTTAAAATGAAGTTTCACTCTCCTTGCCCAGGCTGGAGTGCAATGGAGCAAACTCAGCCTACTGCAATCTGGGTCTCCCAGGCTCAAGCAATACTCTTGACTCAGCCTTCTGACTAGCTGGGATTACAGGCGCCTGCCACCATGCCCGGCTAATTTTTGTATTTTTAGTAGAGATGGGATTTCACCATGTTGGCCAGGCTGGTCGCGACCTCCTGACCTCAGGTGATCCGCCCACCTTGGCCTCCCAAAGTGTTGGGATTACAGGCATGACCCACCGTGCCTGGCTGTCTCCATCGTTTTTTATACTTTATTAAGGTATAATTTACAAATAAAAGTTATATATATTTATGGCATAAAAAGTGATATTTTGATACATGTATACATTACAAATTGATTAAATCAAGCTACTTAACATATTCATCACCTCACATACTTTTTTTTTGTAGTGAGAGCATTTAAGATTTGGTCTCTTAGCAATTTTATGTATTAAAAACTTTATTATTAACTACAGTCAGCATGTTATATATTATATATTCATAATTTATTTATGTAATTGTAACTTTATATACTTTGACCAACATTTTGCCATCCCCCACACCCAGCCACTGTCAACCAGAATTCTACTCTCTGCTTCTATAAATTCAGGTTTTTTAGTTTCCACATGTAAGTGAGATCATGCAGTACACATCTTTCTATTCCTGGCTTATTTTACTTAACAGTGTTCTCCATGTTCATCCATGTTGTGTAAATGAGAACATTTTATTATTTTTATGGCTAAATAGTATTTCATTTTGTATATAACCACACTTACACATCCATTTATCTGATGATGGACACAGGTTAATTTCGTATCTTGTTTATTGTGAATAATGCGGCCATGCACAAGAGAGAGCAGCCATCTCTTTGACATACTGATTTCATTTTGGGGGCTATATACCTATATACCTGCACGTGGGATTGCTGGACAATAGAGTAATTCTATTTTTAATTTTTTGAAGAGCCTCCATTCTATATTCCATAATGGTTGTACTAATTTACATTCTCACCAATATGGTACAAGGGTTCTCTTTTCTCCACATCTTCCTCAATACATGTTATGTTTTGTGTAATAGCTAGTCTAACAGATATCTCACTGTTGTTTTAATTTGCATTTCTCTGATAATTAGTGATGTTGAACTTTTTTTTTTTCATATATCAGTTGGTCATTTTTATGTCTTTTCATTATTAAGTTCTTATAAGATGTATAGTTTGCAAGTATTTTCTCCAATTTTTTGGTTGTTTCTGCATTCTATTGATTTATTTGCTATGCATTTAACATTCAGTTTGATGCAATCTCTTTTGTCTATAATTGCTTTTGTTGCCTATGTTTTTGGGTTCATGTACAACAAAATACTGTCCAGACCAATGTCAAGAAAATATTCTCATAGTAGTTTGACAATTTCAGGTCTTATGTTTAAGTCATGAATTTATTGTTTTAATTTTTTGCATATGGAGTGAAATCAGGTTCTAATTTCATTCTCTCGCATGTGGATATCTTGTTTTCCAAAACCATTTATTGAGGAGACTATTTTTTTTCCTGTGTCTATTCTTGGCAAGTTTGTTGAAGATTAATTGACTATACATGTGAAGATTTATTCTTAGGCTTTCTGTTTTGTTTCATTTTTCTCTATTCCTGTTGTTAATGCCAGTACCATCTGTTTTGATTAGCATGGTTTTGCAGTAAATTTTCAGATAAAGAAGTGTGATGAAAGTGTGATGCCAGCACTTTTGCTCTTTTTTGCGCAAGATTGCTTTGACTTTTTGGCATCTTCTTTGGATTTTACAAATTTTAGATTTTTTTTCTATTTCTGTAAAAATTGTTACTGTAATTTTGATAAGGATCGCATTGATCTGTATATTTCTTTGGGTAGTATGAGCATTTTAATAATATTAATTATTTCAATCCATGAACATGGGATATCTTTTCATTTATATGTCTTGTCTTCAATTTCTTTCATAGATGCTTTATAATTTTCAGTGTATAGATCTTTCACCTTCTTGGTTATATTTATTCCTAAGTGTCTTTTTAAAATGTCATTATAAATGAGACTCTTTTCTTGATTTTTTAATCAGATAATGTATAGAAACACAATGATTTTTGTATATTGATTATGTATCCTGCTACTTTACTTAATTAGTTTATTAGTTCTAACAGTTTTTCATTTAAATGGTATTTATTATCTTTCAGTTTCCAGGTGCTGTTCTCAGTCCAGGAATACAATGACGAATAAGATAAAGGCCCTTATTTCAGAGCTGACACACACTATACGTAATGTATCAAAAATGGTTCTTGCTATATTTCTGTTTTTATTTGCAAGAATATAGATAGCATCTGCTTTGATATAAAACTTTTATGTGTCTTACATAGTTGATTTATAAATGTTCTATCTATAAATATAAAACAATAAATTACTAGTAACAGTTGGCTTAGGAAAACTTTTAATCATGTCCTACATTTTACAACTTGTAATTTCTACCAAATGTTTGTATTTTTATTAGTCTTATTAAATATAATAAATATTTGCCTGACTTAACATATTTTAATAGAATTCTTCATATGTTTTGCAGAAAGCTAATTATGGTTTTCCACGTGATTTTTCTTTCATATATACAGTATTATTTAAAATAAATTTTTATAAAATAAGCCAAGTGGTTTTTATTGTAATGTATATGTTACATTAAGAAATAATATACATTCTCTAATGCCATTTTATATGCTATCTTCTAAGCACTAAGTTTATATTTACCAGGAAAAGGTTCAATTTGGTGACTTAAGTAATTTCTTTTCTATTCCTTATTTAGAGTTGGCAGTAGTGTAGGCGTATGTCTGGGCCATTCGCCCAACTATGCCAGTGGTTCCCTTTCATTTTCTTTTCCTGATTCAGCATCAAGCATGAGTTACATATGGTCACCAATCTTCTAGACAAAAAATAGCTAAAGAAGAATAAATTTTTCCACTACATTACTCATCTGGGACTCCTCTCTGTGGTCAGTACCTGTATGGAAAAAGAATTAAAAAAGTGTTTTCACTGATAACAGTCCTTCAAACATATTATTTTTTCAAAAATCATCAAACCACAAAGATAGTTCCAGTCAGACATCCAGATGTTTACTCTGAGTCAGACAGTAGCTATCAAACACTGTGGTAAGGGATTCCCTAAGTAGGTAACCAAGTTTCTGTACACAACAAAGGCTCTTAGACATGGATTTGAGTAACTAAGTTTTATTTAGTTTGCTGACTTTTAAGTTTCATTCCATGACTTTTTTGACTACTCTGTACAAAATTTGGAGCTATTTTTTGTAATAAATACAATGTGGAATAGAGCGAGTTCCCACAATGAGGTAGTTCATAGATGCATCAGATGTGCTTAAGAAACTATAAAAATAGCTAAACACCTAGACACATTATAATTAGCATCATCAGGTATCACTGGAACAATTTAGAGGATAAGGGTATCACATATGTTTGAAAATATCAGGAAGTCTTCACAAAATTGATTCTACACTTTATGAGACTGAAGAATTTCAACACAGAGAAAGAGGGTGACTTTTTAGGGAGAAGCAATGTTATGAGCTTGCATTAGACTTTTGTGACCATAGGACATTATTAGGATTAAATCATGAAAACTACGCAGAGCTTTAATTTTGGATGCTGATTTGGGCAATTTTTATTTAATTTGGTAGCCTTTTTTTAGTATAATTACATTTTCTAAGTATGATCTAGAAAATTTAATCTGAAGTCTTGAATAGAATGAAATAACATCAGGTAAGAATAAAGAAATGAAACCAACGAGGAGATAATGAGACCAATGAAGAGATAAGAGACCAATGAGGATGAAATAAAAAAAACCAAAAAAAAAAAAAAAAAAAGAGAGAGAGAGAGAGAAAAGAAAGGAAAGGAGAAATGTGTTGACAAAGTAGAAATTACACTGCCTAACTGGCTAAGAAATACATTTGACAAATTATGCTAAAAATTTCTATTATTTTGAATTGGGACTTGTATATTGCAGATGTTTTTATTAGATTGAGAGGTAGGGTAGTAGACCTGGCTTTCAGCCTACTAAGTTTGTAGTTCTATGAGTTCTTCTGGGCAGTTTATCTAGTAGACATTTAAAATCAGAGAACTGAAAGCCTCTAATTTTGTTATGCAAAATTGTCGTCTCTTGCCTATGGTGCCACGAAACAGAAAAGGATAATTTTCTTTTGTAACACAGCTTGGACCCCACTGCTATGGTGCTGTGCACAGGGTCACCAAAACCTGTTCTGTTCTTCCAGAAACTGCAGATAAAGGGAACCCAGAAAACTGTCAAGCTGGCAAAAGCATACTAATTCTTTAGCAGCCAGACTACTGGTCTCCCTCTCTCTGCCTCAACCTGTTGACTGAATGATAAAAATCACTGTTTGTCTTCTCTGCAAGATTCTGATTAATGGGAAGAATGATTTGTGAGACTAGTATTAGGCTCTAGTAAGTCTGATGTACTTTGTGCTATAAATTTGTCTTGTGTTATTCTGTCATAAAGAGGGTTACCATAGGATACGATACAGGCCTGGGACTCCTATAACTTCGTGTTCAAGCTGACCTTGCAGATTGGTCAATTAAAAAACATAGCTGCATTTCCCTCGGGCAAAAACCTGGATATGGTTTCCCTCTTGTCTTGTCTTGTATTCGCAAGAGCTTGACTTTATGACCATGTGGGGATACTCTCTCTTGGTGTCTGCCATCCAGAGGGTGGGAAGTTTCAGTTTCATATTAGGTTACGGGTCTGAAAGGACCAAGAGTCGATGAGATGCATTAGCACATTCTTCATTCCAAATGTGTTAAGCCCTCTGGTGAGTTTTGTTTTAAAATGTCCCATACTATGGGGTTTTTGCCATCTTTTGCTATATTAAGCACCTTTCTGAGGGTGAATTTTTGGGGATCGTGAGGATGCCTCCTCTATGATCTCTCCAGAAATACCTCTTCCGTAGTGATAAGAACCTGGAACATCACCATCTGAATTTTAAAAGGGCTTTTGGATTGAGTTACTATTTGAACTAAGTACACCACTGAAAAAAAAATATTTTATAGCTATTTTGTTCTCAACAATTGAATAAAAAAGTTTAAACTTAGAAAATGACATATAATAATGTCATGGCTAGCCTTAGAAAATTCTCTTGGGCAGTTAAAATTCTTTGCAAGCTTTAAAATGGCTGTTCTAGACTTCTTTTCAGAAAAGTTCTGGCAACTGCCCAATGCTGTACGTTGGTTGCTAAGGCTCTGCCCTTTCATGATGGTGGCCTGGGTTCATATCTCTGGGTTCATGGACAGCTTCTGATCTTCAGTCTTGCACCATCTCATCTTACAGTGGTTCCCTCCTTCGGTAGATTCAGGATTTGACGTAAAAATTGGATCCTTGACTTTTGGGGATCTGTTCTGCCTTCCACCTATCCCTCCCCATTAGGCCTAGAAACTGCATGCTCTCCTGGTGCTGCTCCTTACAAGATTCTACCCTAAAGCCAGTAATGCAATTAAGAAACTTACATCTAAGAAAATCACCACAGGTAAGGATATCCTTATTTTGGCCATGTGAACTTCTACTCATACCATTTTCCCTGAGTTTGGGTAAAACATTAATTATCTGTCTTGTTTCACTTAAGAGTTACCACTTTAGAAATGCAAATTTAGAGTTGTCTAGCTGACATCAGTCTAGGACAGGGGACAGGTAATCAAGAGACTAGTGGCCTAAAATGAGGAAGAAAAACTTAAAAACTGGCAAATGAAGAATCTTACAACTCTACCAGATCTGCTTTTTCTGTTCATTTACATGTGCCATGTGAGTGATGTTTCACAACCAAAATTATATTAAAAAGTTCCAATTAATTGGCTTAAAGAAAAATTAGCACTTAAACATTTTCTCAAAAAATAGAAATTTTAACCCAAATGCATTTTAGTTCACATAACCTTAGTAAACTTCAAAATATACTTTTTAACATTAGTAAAATAAAATTAAAACCTTTTTATAACTTAGACATGATTTAAAGTATACAGTTCAGTTACTGTCTTTTCTAGACATTTTAAGGACATAAATTCCTTATATGACATTTTTTTGATAACTGTTTAACTTGTCTGTTTTACAGCCGTTAGATTCTAGGAAACACCTGGGTACCTATAGAGTTAGACACGTCCCTTGGCTGTGCTGGGAAAAGTCAGACATGGTCAGCAGTTCTATTTTTGTCCTGCATTCTGCAATCTAATAGATTTTTAAAAAGTTATTTACTTGGTTGATGGGTGGAGCAAGATTTCAGACAGAAGGCTCCACAGATTGTCCCTCCATCAAGGACACTAATTTAACAACTATCTATACAAATAAGCACATTCATAAGAAACACAAATCAGGTAGGCACTCACAGTACCTGGTTTTAACTTCATATTGCTGAAATAGGTACTGTAGAGGAAAGCAAAACAGTCTTGAATAGTCAATGCCACTCCTTTCCCATCCCCCTGGCAGGGGTGCTGTGGTGATGAGAGCGTTTCTATTCCTTGTGTTGAGGGAGAGCCAACAATTGTGATGCACTGAACCCAGTATTGCCCTCATTATAGCAGAAAGCAAAACTAGACCAAACTCAGTCTCACCCACGAAGGGTGCATTTAAACCAGTCATAGCCAGAGAAGAATCACAAATCTCGGTGGTTGGAAATTAGGTTCCTATACTCCTCGCTACCACAGGATAAAGTACTCTGGGGTGGCAAATTAATCTGAAACATAGTTGAAGCCACTAGAACTGCAATGCCTAGGCAAGTTTTAGTTCCGAGCTGTGCCCAGGTACTACACTGAGGACCGTGGGTGAGATGCTGAGACTTGCTGGACTCAGGTGAGAGCCAGCACATTCCCAGCTGTGGTGGCTATGGGGCAATACTCTTTCTGATTGAAAATAATAGAGAAAAAAGTAAAGTAGCCTTGTCTTGCACCTTAGATACAAGCTCAGCCACAGTGGGGGTAGAGCACCACGGAGGCTCCCGGTATCCCAAATTCTAGGACTTGACTCTTGGATAGAATTTCTGGACCTACCCTGGGCTGGCGTACCCTCACCTGAAAGGTGAGTACCAGGCCGGTCAACGTTCACTAGAAGCTGACTAAAGAGCCTGTGAGCCTTAAGGGAACATTGGTAATAATCTGGTAGTACCCCCCAATGGACTAAGGTGGCAGTGATTACAAGATAAGGTACCTCTGCCTTTGGAATGGGAAGGGAAGAATGGGAAGGACTCTGTCTTGTGATTTGAGTGCCAGCTTAGTTGCAGCAGAATAGAACCCTAGGTGGACACGTAAAGTTTTTGATGGTAGGCCTTGGCTCCTGGACAGCACTTCTGGACCTACCCCAGGCCTGATGGAACTTGCTACCACCCAAAGGGAAAGAAATAGACCTAGGCTGGCTTTGCCACCTGCTGGCTATAGCCCAGCCCTCTTCCAGGGCTTTGAGCAAACATAGTTTGTAGCCAGGAATTGGTTAGAGCAGGCCTTGGATGAGATCCAGCTCTGTATTGGATTCAGGTCTGACACACCACAGTCCTAGGTGCCCTAGGGATGGTGGACACAGGGGTGTTTGTGTCACTCCAACCCCAGTTTCAGATGGCTCAGAATAGAGGTACAGATTTTGTTTGGGATAA